GAGAGAGAGAGAGGAGAGAGAGGGAGGAGAGAGAAGAGGAGAGGAGTGAAGGAGGAGGTGGAGAGGGGAGAGGGGAGAGGGGAGAGGGGAAAGAGGGAGAGGAGGAGAGGAGAGCAGGAGGAAGAGGAGGAGCTGGAGAGGGGAGAGGAAAGAGAGGAGGAGAGGAGAGGAGAGGAGAGGAGAGGAGAGGAGAGAAGAAGGAGAGGGGAGAGGGGAAAGGAGAGGAGGAGGAGGAAGAGAGGAGAGAAGGAGGAGGAGGAGGAGAGAAGGGAAGAGAAGGGAAGGAGAGAGAGAGAGAGGAGCAGAGGAGAGGAGAGGAGAGAAGGAGGAGTAGGAGAGGAGAGAGAGAGGAGAGAGAGGAGGGAAGGAGAGGGGAGGGGAGGGGAGGGGAAGGGGAGAGGAGGGGGAGAGGAAGATTGAAAGGGAGAGGTAGAGAATAATCTTAGCTGTTATGTGAGAACTTATGCACTGTGATAAACATTGTCCAATATAAGGCTGGACAGGTGATGTCTAGGGTGGCTCAGTGGGTATCATTCTCATCTTCTATGCAGGAAGCCCCGGTTCTATTCCCAACCAGGGCACCTCAGGGACAGTCAGTAGCCATTGGCCAATGGAGGCCTGTGAGTCTGGGCACATGTTAATGGTGTTTCCAGACTCAGACAGACCAGCTATTTACCTCTGATGTTGTACTATTGGGGCTGATTTTGGTTTTGTTTTTAGGGTGGAACGGGCCATTTTAACTATTGTATTTTGCATCGTTCAGAGCATTCACTGTGTTATGCATCTAAAGGCCTGACACATTCTTTCATACCGTGATTTGCAGGAGATTTTGGGGAGATGGGGAACGGGGTGAGATTGTAGGGACGTCCATGTATGTATGTCTCTTACGTGTGAATGTAAATCCCACCCCCCAAGGATGGAACCACCCATGATATAAGTCTGATTCAAATGCAAACAGACATGGTGGAGGGTTTCCCATGTACCTGGGTCCCCTTGCTGCAGACAGATGGTGGATGTCAAGGACACGGCCAGCAGCCACACGGGGAACATGGTGGGAATAGCTTCGTGGGGCAGGGGCTGCAAGACAAGACAGGGTCTCAGGTGGAGGGGCCTCTGGGACAGCCAGGGGGAGACTGAGGGGGAGGGGATGGGCAAGCATGTGTCTCTGCAAACGCAGGAGGCTCTGAGGATGTGAGGGCCTGGAGGGGTGTGAGTGTGTGAGATGTGGGTGCGGTGTGCATGTATGCCAGGTGTGTGAGGTGGAGTGTGTGAGAGGTGAGGTGTGTGTGTAATGTGTGTGAGACGTGCATGGAGCGTGTGAGAGGTGAGATGTGTGTGTAAGGTGTGTGAGACGTGCATGCAGTGTGTGAGAGGTGAGGTGTGTGTGTAAAGTGTGTGAGACGTGCATGGAGCGTGTGAGAGGTGAGATTTGTGTGTAAGCTGTGTGAGACGTGCATGCAGTGTGTGAGAGGTGAGGGGTGTGTGTGTATGGAGTGGCTTGTGAGGTGTGTATGACGTGTCTGTGTGTGGTGTGTCAGGTGTGAGTGTGCATGACGTGTGTGTGATGACCTGGGTGTGAACTGTGTGAGTCTATGACGTGTGAAGTGTGTGTGAGGTGTGAATATATGCAGGGTGTGTGCGTGTGAGGTGTGTATGACCTGTGTGTGTGGTGTGTCAGGTGTGT